CCTCCAGGGCCTGAGTACGCCAGGAGACTTCAGGACCGACCTTGATTCAGACTCTACGCCTTTACCCGCGATCAGCAGAAAAAGTGCTGGTGTGAGACAGAAATGGAACTATGATACAAGGACACGAGTGCAGCACTTCCGGGCCCGGGGAGCTGTTCTGGGTCTACAGCCCACAACAGAAAAAAGGCCGGTGCCCAAAACATGACAGCCAATGGGTTGGTCCCTTCAGAGTACTGGAGAGGGTGGAGGAAGTTGTCTACAGGGTGCAGCTGCCTCCCAAGGGGAGAAAAGTTGTGCTCCACATAGACAGGTTGGTCCCTTACAGAGGAGTCGCTTCTCCACATGCCCAAGGGACCACGGAGCCGTTGTCCACAGCCTCCCCCTCGACACCCCCAGGTCCCCCGGCGATCAGAGCAGCAGCCCTCCACCAGTGACTGAGTTCCCCCCCACTTTCTTCCCCATTTCCCCGCCTAGTCCAGAACCGGCACCCCCTGTCCCTCTGACTCCAGCCCCCCTGCTGAGAAGGCAGACTCGACCCCCAAGTCGGTTCAGAGACTTTGTGTGGTAAATAAAGTTAATAGTGAGACCCCTCGGTTCCTGTAGAGGGCAAGAATGTGCCCTTGTCTAACTGGTAGTCCACCCAGACTTCCTTGTTCAATTTTTTTTTAAATCTGTTTTTAAAAATGTGTTACACATTGTGCTAGGGGTTTGTGTTTAGTCGCAGGTGTTTTTTTGTTGTTGTTATTTGTTCCTCGTGGGCGAGGGACTTTGTGGTAGGGGGGTAGTGTAGCGACCCGGTATAGGGTGCTGTGTGGGTCACTCAAGCATCCCCCGTCTCTCTGCCAATCACAGAGCTGCACAGTAATGCTGGTCGGTGTGTGGGCCTGTGGTTGGGGGAGCAGAGGGGGAGGGCTGGAGAGCGTGTGACGTTGACCCTGCTGTGTGTGTGTGTGAGTTAGGGACTGGAGTACTGAGTGATGTTGAACCTGCGACCTGTAACCTGTGACCTATGAACCTATATCTGTATGCTATCAAAGGAGTTATTAAACCTAATAACTTGAGGCCTGTTTCCGATTCCTATTGTGGAACGTTACAGTATTGCTGTTAGTTATATTCTTAAGATGTGTGTTGGTTTTTGAAATAATATATTGGTTTCTTTAATAAAAGGCTGAGATGAAGGTTTATAGATACAGTATGATTGCAGTGTGGTGCACAGCTGTCAGATAAAATACCAGGAATGTTAATGCTTTCCATGCAGTGCAACAGCCTACTGCCTGAAACTTTTGTGAGGCATAGGAGTTTGTTAGGACTGCCAAACTGTTATCACTTTAACTTTGTTGTGCTGTGGTTATTTCCACCTTGTGTAATACGTGTTTAAAGTGGAGTGCATAGCCTGGATGGGTTGTAATCCATTGATTATTAAGGAGAAGAGTTGTGTCTGTGTTGATACGAACCAGCAAAACAGCGCCCTCCCGCGGGGGTATGGCAGTAGGGCAAAAATAACAGCACTTCAGGACTAAACCATTCACTTGACAACGTTGCGATGCAGTCACTAGTTACCAGCAATATTTTTTGTTTAATCACAAGAGCCGTCATATTGTTAAATAAATAATATCTTTAGGTTAAAATTCACAAACAGTGGTACTTTTGCGGCAAATGGGATTTGTGTAACCTGCGTGAGGATTATTTTGTTCCCCTTCATTGAAAAGTGGTGGTACGGTCCAATAGTATTGAAGGCAACTCTGAAAAAACGACTTGTTTTCACCCAGAGGAAGAAGCGTTGCCGTTATCTTCTGCAGCACCAATTTTTTATAACGGTTGTACCATTTATTTTATAGCTGGTTGGTTCTCGCAAAGCAGCTTTTATTGCTTGCCATGGCTCTGTGTGAGGGAATCGGAGCCATGGCTTTGCCCAGCGAGCTTATCGTTCATATATTCTCCTTTCTGTCCGACCGAGACAAGCTCCGGGCCTCGTCCGTGTGCTCACGCTGGAGGGAGTGTCTCTTCTACCCCGCGCTGTGGACTGAGCTCAAGCTGCGGGTAGGTGGTGGATGTAACGGTGGCGGATCCACCTCAGAGGAGACCCCGAAGCTGGAGTTCCTCATGCGTAAGTTTGGTTCATTCGTGCGGGAGCTGCAACTGGAGCTTGCCCCGGTGGAGGGTTACCTTAGTCCCCTGAGCAACGACCCGTCCCCCCCCAGGATGGACCAGCCAGACAGCGACCCGCAGCTCTCCGAGCGATGGAGGGACGCCATGGCCACCTACTTGGACCAGGTGTTATGTGTGTTCTCCAGTACCCGTAACAACAGGTAATGTTACAGAAAAACTTGCTCTAAAATCACTTTCTGAGTGTTTATTTGTATTCAATGTCTGTAATTCCCATGACACCCTCTGCTTTTTTTGAAAGTAGTATTTGGTGCGTCGCAGCAAGCTAGCATAGTTAGCTATAAACAAACCCTGACATTAGCCGTTACGTAATAGGGTCATGTCTTTGCAGTGCAGTTAGCGTCCGACGCTACATGTCTCTGAGGGCATTATCAATACAACAGGAGGCATTTCTTTGTCTTTCCTTTACAGTTTTACTTTTACATAATGACATATTTGTGGTGTATGCATATGGGACGACGTTTAAACGCTTGCCTGCGTTTCTATTGTTGCCAGTTCTATATTCTGCGTTGCATTGAGGTCTTCATACCAGCAGATACAATGCAGCACTGCTGGTGGCTAGAGAAGGCTTTGTTGGCTGTAACTTGCTGATATCAGCACACATATACAGTGTGTATATGTATATATTTAGCTCTGGGATGTCGTTACATACTGTTGGATATAATCACCTATGTGCTGCGTACTTATATTCTAGCTTTCTGCTGTGGAAGTTGTTTCCTGTAAAATATTTATTTAAATGGCAAAGTTTTCCTGTTTCAGTGCTCTATATAATACCTTCTCCCACATTCTTTATTATTCTCTACAGTGCTTCGTAGTGTCAAAAGTTCATTCGTCCATGTCTTAGTTCTGCTGAGGGGGCTTGAAACCGTTTCAGTTGTCAGACTTCATTGAACAGCTTCCAACAATTTCGATTAAAAAAAACACTGACAAAAAATACCTGTTTCCCACATTCATCCATCCTGGAAAGTATCAACATTCAATACACCTGAATGTCAGTTTTCATACTGCACTGGATCAGTGGATCATTTTGTTTCACAAAGTAAACTTCCTCTTTAGAATATGTACATTTAATTTTGCATTGGTTGATGCAGGATTTGTATCATTTACTTTGTGTGTACTAAACTAAAGAATAAAGTTGGCTTATTTCTTGTATAGAAAGGAAAGCCATGGCTTGAAACGTAGTATTTAGTACATTAAAGTAGCATGTTGTAGTACACTACTAGAACTCTAGAAAATAGATATTGCTGCAGGTCCTGTGAAGTTTCCTAGTTCCAGACTTCTATTAGCGCACCAGCAATACAAAATGTTGACTTGGCAAGTGAGCATTTTTAGCAGTATGTTATGAGAAAATGTGCCAGACTTGATTATGTTATTCAACAGCTTGTATTAATTCTAACTTAAAGCGTAAGAAGGAAACATTTGCTAACCCGGCAAAATTAAAGCCAAATGTTGCAACTCTTTTCCAATGCAAGTAGCTTCAATTGCTAGCTCCAAAAGTCTGACATTTTTGGAAAAGTTGGCTACACTGACTGTCTGTCACTTCAGGTATCCTTCCAAGCTAATCCACAAAAAGGAAAACTTGGCTATTGTTAGTACTTTCAGAAAGGCAATTACGGCTAGGCAAATTGCATGCAGGTTGTAAGGCAAGTCCACTTATTACAGTCCATCACCAGCGACATATACTTTGTCAAGGATTTTGATATATTGATAGAAATGGAATTCAAGAAATATAACAACATCCATTTCCCACCTTATCTTAAGGAATCTATGTTATCATATGAGGATACTGAAGTTTTTCATTCAGCTAACATCAGTCCAACTCCTTTGGTACTGTAAGATGTAAAAAAAAAATGAGAATAGATAACCAATTGTTCCTTTACTAATGGTTTTGCACACTAAGTAGCTGCAGATAAGACTGCTGTTGGTTTCTGTAGAGGCTCTTTGTGAAGCTTAGCCCTCTGTTCATTTACAGGAAGTGGGCTTCATCGAACATAATGAACATTGTACCATACAGGTACAAGCCTACATCATTGTTGCACACAATTATTTCCCTCAATGTAAAACTTTCATCTTCTAAACATCGTTTATAAAACCATAACAGACATTATGTAATCAGATGCATTAAATAATAAAGCAGCAGACAATATTGCAAAATATAATGTCACATCTATTTTGGGCACCAGGATGTAAAGGGCTCTTGACAGAAGGTGCAGCAAAGTGCAAGTTCTCGCATGATAAGCAAATATCCATCTATATACATAACCAAGCTAGAATACATTTCAGGAAATCACTACAGTTCCAGGCGAAGGCTGGTGAAGGAGAGGAAATGGTTAAACATGAATCCTAGTGTAACTACTATTGCTTCTGTTTGCAATATCCCAAGATCCCTTAGGCACTCCATGTGATATAATCATATTCACAATGTACATAAGATAACATTCACAAATGTTGACTCAGCAAACATATGACAATGACCATCCTTTTTGTGATTATCTCAAGTTACAAAATGTATCATTGTTTTTCTTTAGTTCAGGGGTCTCAGTAATGACTATCATTGCACGCTGTTATTTGGTAAGAATATCACTTGCTTACCTGTCGATGTAGAAGGCATGGTTGTTGTTTGTGGAAGCGCCAGTGAATGAGCCCCATTAACTGAGTTTTAAACATCACTTTAAATGGAAGATCCCCATAGGCCCCGCCCACTCGATCGGATCGGTATCAGCCGATACTGATTCCGGCGATCGGCCCCAAAATTCTCGATCGGAGCATCCCTAATATAAGCATATGTGCATCTATTATTAAAACCTTTTTTTCCGACATTTCTAACATTGGCTCTTTATCTTTCTCCAGAAACCTGCGGAAGCTGAGTCTTTATGGAGACACCTGCGTTCTCCAGCAAGAGGGACTATTGGACAGCTCCAACCTGCACCAAATTCACCAGGGGGATAAAAAGATCAATGAGTAAGCCTGAGCATAGCCACATGCAATCAAACTCAAAAAATTGTGCATTCATAGAAGCAGTACAACAATGCAGGTCTCATGCTGGCAATACATCATACCCTCCCTTTGACAATACATTTTCAAAATATATTGGACAGTTTGTCATCATCCAGTCAGCAGGTTCCCGGCATCACCACAACACACTAAACTAAACACACTGAAATTGAATTGCAAATCCTGATGTAACGTTTTTAATAATCCAGTAAGCCAACTTCTCCTAGAAAAATGTTAGAATATGTGGTCGAATCGGAAGTATTGTTCATGCTAGTGCTCTCAAATATGAGAAAAATAACATAGGGTTTCCTTTAGGGGTGTAACAGTATACGTACCCGTACCGAAATTATTCGGTACGGGCCCTTCGGTTTGGTACACGTGTGTACCAAAGTGTACCGAACGAATATAATGTTAAATGTAAAAAAATGAGAACGTGAACAACTTTTTGGAAGTAATCTCAGGTGCTGCGCCGCAGCATTCAGAGTAATTTGCTCACATTGGGTTCAACACGTCATAGAGCGACCAAGTCATTTAATTGGACTTGAGGCATACTATGAGAGCTGGTCACAGGGACGCGTTCAAATTTAGTCAGTAATTTGAGGAACTGTTCAAAAAAAAAGTAAGCCTCCACCACTTGCCAAAAGTTCAGACCGAGCCAAAGCTATTACAAACGCCAAATATCCTTATGTTGCCATGTTAGCAAAGCGCTACCTGGTTGCAGTGTGAGAAAAAGTTTTTAGAGAGTACTTGTCCATGGACAAGTGAGTTTGGCAATTTACTTGTCCGAATACATTTTTCACTTGTCCAGAATGGACACAAATTGGGGCCACTGGAATCTTCTTCTTTGCCATCGTATTTTACATTTTCCCCCGGTTTTTACGACACCGGTAACATAAGTGAGCGGTAAGATTTTACTGCATCACACATAGGGTTGGGTATCGTTTGGATTTTAACGATTCCGGTTCTGCTTTTCGATTCCAGTTATTTTCGGTTCTCGATTCCGGTTCTTTGAGAGGGTAAAAATAAGTCCCATGACAAGCTGGGAGAAAAGTATATTTATGAAAACATTAAGTCAAATCTGTATTCCTATTTACAAATCACTTCATACTGTTTAATTTCTTACGGTTATTGAATACAATTATATAAAAATAATCTCTGCATTGTTTAGTTAGTTCTAAGTGGTGCAGTTTGAGAATGTACAATTGGCCCAGTCTCCTCTGATGTTACACTGCAACCTGCCTGTGAGACAGAGTCCAACCAGGGGCGGACTGGGGGTTCATTGACAGACAGCCCCACTTAATGCGCGGCATGTATCGGCTGGCCGGCGACGAAAGTATGTAACTTAACAAAAAACCCTATGCATTTTATGTTATTTTGGACAATTATTCATATAGTAATCACATTACCTGAGCCCTTGAGTTGCCTAGAGCAAAAATAGTAAAAGCATATATTTAGTGATTTTAATGTTAACAGATCATTGATGCAATAATATTTTTGACCCAATTTGCCTGACTTGACACATGGAATAAAACATGGGCGTAGGAAGCATCCTCAATGTCGGTGAGACAATTTAACAGGGGGTGTGGGCAGGTGGTGGACCTCACCTCCTCCTCCTCTAGGGGGGTCCGGGGGCAAGGTC